GAGTATGTTACTCAAAATGGATCCGAAATACGGCGGCATTGTAAGAACAGGCGTGCTAACCATGCGTTCAGGTATACACAAACAACAGACGTCGCTTATTATTTTGCCGATATAAGTAGCAATAAGGCTAACACTCGAAAAGGCATCCAGGGCAAAACACATACGGGTTGGCATACCAGTAACTAATTCTTTCACCAAAAAAGTTCCATAGATCTCTATTAAAGACTAGAGAGCTCAAGTTTAGCTTTCAAATTTGACTTGCACCTGATTAAACTGTTCAATTTGTAGACGAGGTAAAATTTGATTTATTGCCATGCCGATCACGCAGACCACATCAAATACCCATATTACATTGACAAAATTGAATTAGAATGTACGTCCTAAGCATATGATGTGAGAGAGATACGAATCGTGTATGATGTACAAAACATCTAGATTGAACGACCTATATTCTAGCGAACTGTTGAATGACTTACATTCTAGCAAAAATTCGAACACTTGCCTGACAAAAGTAAACTCTCGTCACTTAACCACGTTATCATCGAATGTAAACAGAATGTACCAGTTAAAGCAAACACAGGGTGACACATTAATAAGTTACGACCACAGTAGATAGGTAATTAAATCGTTACAGAGATGAATATGCAATCTTTCAAGGTACTAGCGAAAATCAACAAATCTAAGAAAACTATACAACATTAGCAGCATTATCTACAATTATAATGTTTTGGTGTCATTAAGACGTGATTCGACGATATCGTAGACAGCATTTTGCAAGCGAATGTACGTCCTGCACAAATCGTAGAGACCGGTCTTGAGACCATTGTTCACGTAGGCTATTGAGACTTGATTCTTGAGATCATATACAACCTGCTGACATCCATGGCCGGTATGTCCTACTAGAAACTCCGTCTGAAATTCGTATTAAATAATCAACGTTCTGTTTGCATAAGTCTCCTTCTCATCCAAAACGATCTGACATTTGGTAAGCGAGATAGGATAAGCTATATGATATACACTATCACGTCGCGAAAAGACTATTTCGCGACGTTATCCGAAATAGAGTTCTGGTAACCACAGAGGGCTTTTATAGGAGAATGAGAGCTTCGATGTCTAGTGCGACGGCACATAGCAGCACGCAAAATGAGGGAATGACTTAACTCTATACGTAAAATAATGATTTAAAGTACTCGATAATGTGGGACCTTGTGCAATCACTCGGCAGAGGGAACGCT